TTTGCTCCCTTGAGTTTGGCTGGCTGGGTTGCAGGGGCACAGGGGTGTCACACTGCACACTTTGGGCAGAACTAGAGCCTGTGTTGTCAGCATATTCACAGCGTCTTCTTTTGTATGCCCTGCTGAGATCATGGGACCACCCCCTTGAGAAGTTGCTACAGAGGGGACAGAAGGCAGAACTGGAGCTGGTCCTGTCACCACCTAGCAGTGCCATGGGGGCTGCAGGACAGGGCTGCCACCTTGGCCAGAGGGTCTGAGCTGACACAGAGCCTACACCCAAGGTGCTTTCCCTGCTATAACCTGGGCTGGATTTTGGATTTGCAGGCTCAACCCTTCTATGGCTTTGAAGGTCAGGGGCAGAGTGATCCTGGAAATCCTGATGAATGGGCTGACATCTATATATATATAAATGGCTAATATGATAAATGTCCATCCAGGTAATGACATCACATAGCAATGCCCAGCTTTCTCTCCCTAGTGACTAGCCTCCTTAGAGATTCTTCAGCCCAGGAACACGACTTGCTTTATAGCCAGGTGGAAACATTTTACACTTTAACCAAATGTCTGTGTAGCATTTCCCCGTGCCTCATCTCATTTGATCCTCACATAATTCCTGGAGTAGGTAGATAGGAGACTTGGTGGAACCCTATTTTCTTTTCATTAGCCGAGAAATAAAGATTTAGAAAGCTTAGAAACTTTACCTGACTAAAAAGAAGTAAGAAATGGTGGACCTTGAAAATAACTTCAGGTTTTCTCACTGTGCAGAATATAGTCAAACACTGCTGCAGTTAAATATTTTACTCTTTGTTCTTCCTGTGTGATCTACAATAATAATCTGCTTCATGTTGATATTTACTGCTGTGTTTCTGACAATTACCTGAAAGAGAAGCTGGGGTGCTTCACTGGGCTGGAAAATGTTTAGCTACATCAGAAAGCAGGTCTAATTAAGCAAGTTTATTATATATATATATATATATATTTATATGGCTAAGTTGACTTGTGCATGCATGATATATATATATAAAGCTCTTTCTAGTTCTATTATAGAGAAAGGGAGAATAGCAATATTAAAATATTTCTTCTAATTAATTTCCTTTCAATGTGCTCGAATTCATGCAGTGGGCCACTAGTCTGACTCTAAGTCATATCAGACCAACTGCAAAAGGAGAGCAGGGTTTCAGCATATTTATAGTGGTCATACCTTGCTGTCAGTGCAATGGGACACCACTGTTCAACCAGAAATAAAGAGAATACTGGCTTCTTGCACTGTGGCTGTGGCAGGAGCCCCAGGCTGCCTCTGTCAGCGGACACACGTCCTCCCAGGCGGCACCAGCACAGAATGGCCTCCACTGGGGCCAGGAAACAGCTGGGCATGGGTGGGGCTTTGGGTTTCATTTTGTTTTGGGCTTTAATCCTTTCTCAGGAAATATCTACCAGGGAGGAGAGCAGGAGAAGGAAGATTCCTTCTATCGTGTCAGTGACGAGGCTTCTTTTATTAGTAGACTTCACTTTTCCAGTGGTTTTAGGTTTAAGAAAAATTGAGCAGAAATAGAGTCATCAACTAGTTCCTACTGCCCCAGTTTTCTGCTTTAGCATCTTGAGTTGGTGCATTGGGTACAACTGATGAGGCTGTACTGGTGCATGATTATTAAGTAAAGTCCATAGTTTACTGAGGGTTTACTCTTGGTATTACACATTCTGTGTGCGTTGACAAAATGCATGGTGTCATATTCCCACCATCCAGTGTCATACAGGAGGGCCTCACTGCCATAAAAAAATCCCCTGTAGGGCCCAGCCGGTGTGACTCAGTGGTTGAGTGTTGACCTATGAACCAGGAGGTCAAGTTCAATTCCCCATCAGGGCACATGCCTGGATTACAGGCCTGATCCCCAGTGTGGGGCATGCAGGAGTCAGTCAATCAATGATTCTCTCTGTCATTGATATTTCTATCTCTCTTTTCTTCTCCTTTCCTCTCTAAAATCAATAAAAAATATATATATATATTTTAAAAAATCCTCGGTGGGAATAAAATTTTAAATAAAATTAGAAGAAGAGAGGCTGCAAAAATTCCCCAGGAATTGGACAGCCTGATGAGCATGCAAACAACATTCCATTATCCAGACCCAGGCCGACAGGCCCCTCCCCCCTCCCCCCCAACACCTCTCTGTGTGGGTGTGTCGGGGCCAGAACTTGGCTTGGGAAGGAGTGGAGAATAACCTGAGTGCACGTGTATATAATAATGCCAATGTATATCCATCTTTTTTTTTTTTTTTTTAAAAAAAGGAATGACCTTGGGGATGCATGTGCTGGCCACTGAGTAGGGCCAACTCTCCCTCCTGGATTTAGGAGTTGCAGTTTTGGGGTGCAGGGAGCCTGTTGATTCTGGTCTACAAAGCATTTGCTGTCGACATGTTGCCACATGAGCGTTCGGTGCCAGAGGCCAGCTCAGAGCTGGTGCGCCCCTCATCGGGCTGGGCAGGAGGCAGCTCTCCCTCCCCGCTCTGCTCCTTCCCGCTGGCACGTCTGTTGCCGAAATGTGTCCTCCCTCCAGATGCAGAGGCTGTGTGAGCTCCGAGCCGCCGCCGGCAGCCTCAGCCTCAGGGACCCAGAGATAACAAAGCTCTCTTGCTTTCTGGGGGCTCAAGCAAAGGGAGCGGCGGCCTGGCCAAGTCCCCGCACAAAGCGTGCTCTGAGGTCCACTAGGCAGTGGCCCGCCGGACTGGCCACTCGCCGCTCCTGACGCCGGGCACATCTTCCGGGAGAGCCGAGGAGCCGGGCTTGTGCTGGCCTCTGCTCTGAAACAGACCTCACAGGCGCCCGTGCCAAGCTTTAGGATCCCCGAAGGTATTTGTGTGTAAAAAGGGCCCTCCTGCGTCGGCCTGGGACTCACTTATTTGCTCTAGCTCACGATTAGAATTCTCAGCCGTGTGTGTGTGTGTGTGTGTGTGTGTGTGTGTGTGTGTGTTTGTGTGTGCATGCATGTGGGTGCTGATGGCTTCCTTTGGTGGCCATGGATCACGGATGGTGGGGGCAGCGTCCATGTCATCCTCTCAAATGCCTCCCTGCCCCAGAGGCATCACTCTGCCGCGTTTCCTTCCTGCGCTCCCTGGCTCTGGTGCCAGCAGGTGAAGGGGTTCTGACCTGTCATTTGTTCCCTAAGAAGGTGAGCCGCGGCCCGGCTGGACCTCCTTCGGCCGCTGCTCCGTGCCGCTGGCCTGTTGGCTGGAATCTGCCATTAGGAACACGGGGTCTTTGGGAATGGCTCTTGGCTGCCAGAACGGTTCTAAATATATTAAAAGTAGGTTAACTGACTGTGTTCCCTGCATTTATTCTTCCAGCTGAAATTTTCCTGCCTCCACCCCCCCACCCCCTTTCGTTTTATTAGGTTCATAAAACTTGGTTTTCGAGCATTTCTCTGCCCCAGGAGGGCCATGGGCCCCGCGTCCAATTCATCAAGTGCCTAATGAGTGGCCTCGGAGGTCCCGGCCCATCCATTCCAGAAGCTCTCTGCCTCGTAAAGGTGAGGCCGACGGGCCGCGCTGTGTATTTTGTCTGTTGGTTTCCCAAACTCTCCTGCCAGCTCTACTGTCACTTTCCAGGATTTATAGGGGCCGATGGCACCGCGGGGCTCCCCCTGCAGCCGGCCCCCTCCCCTGCCCGCTCCGCACACACACCACACACTCCGCGCCATAAAACAACGTCTCTGCCATAAAACGGAATAGAAATGTGTCGACGCTAGCATTTTAGAACATTCCAGCAAAAGGGCTGTGGGAAATGCCTTCGTTTACATTCAGGAGGGAAGCTCTGGGAGAGAGGGGGGAATGCAGTGCGAGAAAGGGCCGTGGCAGGGAGAGACAGCCTGGCATTTAAAGCAAATCAATGAAAAATAAAATGTCCGTGTGTGTGTGTGTGTGTGTGTGTGTGTGTGTGTGTGTGTGTGCAGTCTCTAAGTTATGCTTTTTCACACACTCATATCCCCCCCTGGCTAATTTTTGGTACTCTGGAGAAAGACCAGAGAAAGGAAAAGTGGATGTCACTTGCCTTCGGGGCCCGGGGCCTGGGCTGTCTCGCCTTCTAGAACATTCTTCCTTTCCCTCCCCTGCAGGCTCTCTTGCTTTGACCACGGTGTCAGGACCCTGTCAGCTGTGGGGTGGGGTGGCTGCTGGGTTGTGGGGTGCTAGAGGTCCCCCAAATGTCCACACAGCAGCCCAGCCTGGCTGGCGTTTGCCATGAGTGTCCTAGTTCCTCTCCTCTGCTCTGAGCCTCCAGAAATCACTGGGCCTTTAATTAACTGCGCTCTCCCGGGGGCATGCGCCGCCGCTAATAAATTACTCGATGTGACCTGTAACTTTTCCTTCCCTGCCTCCCTAACGCCGGTCGGGGGCTGGGGAGGGAAGGGGCACGGAGGGGAGGGGATGCTTGCTTTGCGAGCGGGAAAAGGAAAATGGAGAGGCCGTGCCAGGCCGTGCTTGGCCATGCCCTCTGTGTTTTACCAGCCCGTGGCCCCAGAGCCAGGCAACAGACCCGACCAAGCAATTGGCTGGGATTTGGGGGCCTCTTTTCACACCCGGAGGTGGACTCGGGGCTGGGGGCAGCGGCGAGGATGGCTGTGGATCTCGGGGTTCTGGAAGGTCCTGAGGTGCAGGGGTGTGGTCATGGCCGCTCAGCATGGTTGGGGGGTGGAGCGGGGGAACGGAGCCCAGGCAGCACCCCTGCTCTCCAGCTCGGGGAGACACCGTGTAAACGGCACCTCATGCAGAAGGGACATCAGAGTGTCCACCTGCCCCACAACTGGCGCCCAGGTTCTCGCACCCCCCGCCCGATGTGGCTCCTGGGCCGGGGGTTTCCCTGCCACGTGTCGGTGGCTGAGAGCCCACACGGGGAGCCGTGCCGGGAGCAGGCCCGGCTCAGGCCCCCGAAGACCCTCAGCTGGGACGGGGTTCTCACGTTGTCTCCGTTTCCTCTCCGGCGCTGGGGCTCGGCTCCTGCGAGGCATTCCTCACCCCGAGCGGCCCTGCTCCCCCAGCCCCTCTCACGGGCACGCATCGGGCACCAGTTTATCTTCTGAAAATATGCTCTGAAGGGCTTTTGTTTTGTTTTGTTTCCCTACTTGACACCCTTGAATAAAATAGGCCATTTGTCTCCTGGGCAGAAGAATTTCAACAGTTACACCGCACACTAGCAAGAGGATTCAGGCTCAATGCGGAGGGGTAGTTAACTTTTTTTTTTTTCATCGCGGGTTTATTCTTGTCTCAGCTTTCCCCCCTCCCCAAGCTTTGCAGCTCTTCGCCCCTCTCCCTAACTAATCCTCCCCACGGCACCCCCCTCCCCGCCACGGGTCCAGCCCACCTCCAGCCCCTCAGACTGAAAGGAGCATTCATGCCCGGGCCATCTGTTTGTTTAAACTCAGCCTGTGTTAGTCCATGTGAAATGCAACAGAATGGAGAAAATGCAATTCTCTGTCGGCTTTTTTTGATCAAAGAGAACTTTAAAAAAAAATTCGAGGTGGATTTCTGAAGGACAATGTTATTTATACACATTCCGTGTGTTTCTGAGCTTCAGTGTTTAGTTGATTTTGGGGGGACAACCCCCCCCCCTTTTTTTATCCCAGGGAGAAAAACTCGCACAAAAACCTATCTCAGCACCACAAATGTCGCAAGACGCTTTCTTTCCGACTCCCCAGCTGAAACGGAGAAGCTAATTCATTAACAACACAAGGGAATTTGAGATATGGCTCGGCTGCAGCGTGCAGAGTTTTGCTTGCTCCTGTGAGAATTCCAGGGGCCGTCACTTGCCTCTGGGGCTAACTCGGGACCCAGGATGCTCACCCCATTGCTCAGAAACACTCACACACGTCCACGCTCACTCCATCGATCTCCATTTCACGGTCAGTCATTGCGTGCACATTTCTCCCCTCACTCCCTCAGCTTCGGAGCAAATGCAAATAAAACGCTTAAAACGGTTAACATTTCCTGTCACCGAAGGCATTCATTAGGGGTGGGGGTCGCTGAGTTTTAAAGTGGATTTTCCTAGGAAAACTCACTTCAGATCTGCGGCAGGAACTCGGATGGGTTCCCACAGAGAATTTCGGGGTTTGAGATAAGCCTAAATTTATTACCGTCATTCCAGTGATCCTTTATGTTACAGGATGCGGGAGAGCAGATATCAAATTTGAACTTCGATTAACCTGGGGCCCAGCTCAGGTCACAGGAAAAAAAAAAATGTGTTCTTCCCCCTCTCCCCCCCATCCATTTTGACTCATTTTCTTTTTATTGAAGGGGGGGAAAAAAAACAAAAAACCCTAAAATATGGTCTTTTAATTTATTGTGTTTTCTCTATTGATTGTTTAGCTAGTGATTTTGCCAACTTCCTGGATGTTCGTTTCTGGTCCTGCACCAAAGAGCCACATTTCCTTTTGGAGTCGGGACCAGGCGAGAGGCAGCGGCAGGCACCGGACCCTGTGAGTACTCCGTGGTCTTTCTCCCGCGTCGCCCCGACCCCGTGTCCGGTCCCTCCCGTCCTGCCTCCCTCTCTTTATCTACCAGTTAGCATTGTTCCCGGAGCTCGGAGCTCGCCAGAACTCTCGCTGCCAGGCCTCAGCACCGTGGCCTCCACTTGTAGGGAACGAGACGACAGCTTCCACACAAACATCGGCTCAGAAGGGGAGAGGGGGTGCTTACCAATGCAGTGACTTCAGTGTTCACTTTAAGGCTCCGAAAGATGGAGAAAGTAAACAGAAGCAGGCTGGTTTATTTCAGGGGCTAACCGTGAGTCCCTACTGGATTTACCTAATAAAATAAATTTAAAAAAATTTCATTTTCTCATTTCATTCCAGCAGAAAATTAGTTTGCCTTTATAATGTCCAGATCTTTCAAACTCGAGTGAGTCAGAAATTAAGGTACAAGATGTAAATGCTTGGATATATATATATGAAAATAATATATATATATATATGAAATGAAGTAATTTCTCGCTGTCATGCAATAGCAAGCCTGACATTAGACTCTTACGATCCTTTTTTTTTTAATGATGTGTATTAAAAAAATATCAGATTGAGTAAAAATGTTTCTTTTTTAAAAACGGGTGGACTGTGATATTTAATAAATTTAATTGTAATTTTTATTTATCATCAGTTGTCTATTTAAAAAAAAATCCTCTGGACATCTCATCAAATGTTAGGAAGACTGTAAAGAAAACATGTATTAATATTCCGGGCCACCGTTGACTTCTTTCTTTTCCATGAAACCATTCCAAGGAGAATGGGAAATTGTAAAACAATGTCGTTCTCTTGCGAAAAGAATACCCTGGCTCTAATTGCCAAGAGAAAGCGATTAATGCTCAAATTTCAAGGCAACTTCAGTGACCAGTTAGGGGCAGGAAGAAAGGGGAAAGCAAGGCTGCTATTTGCGTGAGAAAATCCAGAAATCAACATTTGTAATTGTAATTGTAGATGTATAATCGGAATGTGATTATATTTATAAGGAAAAGTTACATAAACTTCAAAAATGGTAGTTGTTTTGCTTAAGTGCCTGAAAAAAAATTTAAAATAATATTTGGGTTATCCCAGTTTTCTACTCTTATGTTCACAAAGCCTTGTTAGGTTAAAGAACTCCAAAGGAGTGGTGTGTGTGTGTGTGTGTGTGTGTGTGTGCGCGCGCGCGCGCGCGCTTTTTTTTAAGCTCCCAGCCCCAGGACATGTGTAGAGAAAAAGGTAGGAGCTGACTAGTGAAGAAAAACCCTTTCTCCAGAAATTCGTAACAAATCTAAAACTTTTAGAGATTAAAAATAGAACATTTTTTACTCTCCCTCCCCCCCCCCCTTCTTTTTGGGGTTTGTTGAAGGGGTGATGGGCTAGAGCCAGTTTTCAAAATTGCTACAGACCAAAGGTGTACAAAAGGCGTACATCCCTTCGAGTTTGATTAGCGTGTTTTGCTTTTGTTCTCCTGTCTCTGAAACTATGGCATTCTACACCTTAAATATATATTTCTTAAGCTTTCTCATTTGGATGGCTGAAAACAGAAACCTTTGCCTTCTTAGGGACGCTGGGCGGCTGTCCAGTAGATGGCGGTGTTACTTCTAGAGTGACCCTGTGGTGGGGGGTGGGGAAGAAAGAGGCTGAGATTTAGCCCCAATCCAGTCAGGTCTCCCCTTTGCCTCTCAGGGAATTCATTCAGTAAGCTCTAAATGTAAGAAGAAAACCTTTTTTTTGAGATACTGCCCAAAATGTGCAAACTCTCCGAGAGTATTTAAAGTATTTAAGCCAAATATTAATGGCCAAAATGGCTCACCCTCCTGAAGTGATCTGATAAAGTGCCCAGCTAGAATTCAAAGAAACAATTCCTCGGAATGTTCAATATAAAAGCTACTTCAATATTTCATCAGTTGCCTGTCTACATTTTAAGAAATGAAAGCTATCCTTACGGTTCTTCTAAAATAATTGTGAAGAATGTACATTATAGTATCGCATGGAACTTTATATGCATACAAATGGCCAAGTGAAATCAGGCATGTACAGACAGGGACATCAGAATTTCACCTTCTCAACCAGTGTTTGCTTTCGATGTGATGAATATGTGTGAGAATATCCACACTGGACATTGTGTGTCATTGTATCAGCACCTGCTAAAACAGTATCACCAGCTTCTTAGAACTTTTAAACTGCATCTCCCCACGTTTCTACTTTATTTCCCAAACCCCCACATTTTTCTATTCCCATCTCTTGGAAAAGAGAATCCCAAAGCAAGTTGAGGACTTCCTTCAACATATTTAATATTGAAAATGAAATTATGTAAAACATTTTTTGATGATTTTATTTATTTATTATTTACTTTTTGATGATTTTAATGACTCTTCATGGAACAGAATTCCTTTATTTGTAATAACTTGCCGTGTTGGTTTTTAATTTAAAAAGAAATAGAGCATGTGTTGACAACTAGTTTTTTTTTTTTTTAAACACACAAATTCAACAAGAGCAACTAAAGATATTTCTTTTCTTAAAAATGATATTATCATTTGTCCTGCAGCCGAGGGGAGAGGGATTCATAGATTCCAAATGTGAAATATGATTTAAAGACCTATAAATCAGTACATGTAGCAGAGTATAGTGACTGGATCGTGCATGATAGTAATTAGTCATGTATTGTTCTTTAAAAAATTAAATTGAAAGACACGCCAGCTATTACACCTCTATGTATTTACCAACTTTGCAAGTCACCCACTGTCATAGCTCAAATCAATGTATTAATAATAATAAAAAAAGCAGCTGTTTAAATAAATTCTGTTCTGCTTTAAAGATTTGTCTTTTGGGGGAGAAATTCTTTTAAATATTGAGTGGCAGTGACCAGCGAACAAGAGTTAAAATGAAAATAAATCTTTCCGAGACTTAGTTCTAATTTTCTTGAGCAGGATACTAACGCATAGAAAAAACCTTTGTTTACTGAACCACTCGTGCATCCAGGGAGCCTCTGAAAGGTGATATGGAGAGAATATGGACTTGGTGTCCCGAGTGCTTTGTTCCCGTGCAGAACAGAGAGGTGTGTGCTGTGCGGGAAAGGAACAAAGTAAAGCGAGCGACTCTGCAGGGAGATTCACCCAGATTTGTGCAGGTCCAGGGAGGTGAACACATTGGAAGGAAAACAAAAAACGTTGTGTCGCTTGGCACCGTGGCTTGAGGGGTAATTTAATTACACCGCCTATTAATGTTGACTTATGTTTCTGCTCTTGCCAGCCTCCTTACAATCTTGTTTATTTCCAGCAATCACACTGGTGACAGCTCTAATAGGCCATTCAGCAGCGAGCGTTTTCTCATTTACTTGAAACTATTTCAGGTTTCAGAGACCCAGCGAGGAGAAGCACCTTCAGGCTTCACGTGTAGGAATAAACTAGTTCGGGGAAGAATTGTCTCACACAATGAATTCAATCAGCCTATGTAACCAGGTTCATTTTAAAATATTTTCATGTTTCACTTAGCCAAGCAGGCGGCGGTTAGGACCTTAGCAGATGCAAAGATTATTCTGTATTCTGGGGTGTGTGTGTGTGCATGCGGGTGGAGAGTGGCCGTGTACCGTCTCTGCACACGGGTTTACACAAACAGCAGGGAGGCCCTCGCAGCCAGCCAGCACACCGGGGGAGCGCGGCCCTGGCTCGGAGTGATGGCATGCTGTTGCTGATTCTGGGTTCTGTATTTGTAAACTTTCCGCGTTCTGTTTTCTGAGAAAGTCACATTTGATCTCTGCCAGGGAAGGTGGGGAGGCAGAGTTGCTGCCCTCCTAACAGCTGAATGCAATCAGGGTGCTTATGTTGTGTTGTGTTTTAGCTGAAAGGTAAAAGAGGAGAGAAAAATACACCCAAACAAACCAGCAGACACATTTAGCATCCAGTCTTCAACCAAAACAGGCTGTGCTGTCAGTGGAGGGAGAGAGCCTGTGGGATACCATGCGTTTACCTCCACCACTACCCCGCGCCCAAGTTCTCCGGGAAGGAGCTGGGGAGCCGTGGGGATTCCCTTAAAGTAGGGGTGTCGAACTCAATCAGAGAAGGGGCCAAAATCTAAAATCCAGCCTAAATTGCGGGCCAAATGGTTTACTGAACAGTCATAAACTGTCATTGTGATGGAAACGCAGCGGAGTGCAGTGATGACAGCGCGGTGCGGGCCACATTGCAAGGCCTGGCAGGACGGATTTGGCCCGCGGGCCTTGTGTTTGACATATGTGCCTTAAAGGGTCAGCGAGCATGTTTAAGCTGCGTGTCAGGGGGAAGAAGGCTGAGATCCTTTGTGCACACAAGTGCCAGGAGCCCACATCCCTGCCTGTCTCTCAGAAACGAGCGTGCCACGTCCTCTGAGCTGTTTGGAGAAACACCTTTGCCGTGGCCTGGCCATGGCTGCAGCCGAGGGGAAGGTGTCCGGGCAGGAGCAGCTGAGGACCTGGGTGTGCTGGCTGGACCCTGCAGCGAGGCATGGCAGCGAGGTAGGCAGCGCTTTCCCACCTGGGAGCTGGCGCAGGGTCCCGGGCGGGAGCTGTCACAGTTCCCAGGGCCTTGTTGGTGTGGCCACAGATCCAGCTGGGCAAGGGCTCCAACAGCAACGCCATGCTGCCATTGGGTGACACAGCTCTCCCTGGTGCCCCCGAGAACCCACTCTCCGGGAACAGCAATCTTGGACACAGCCTGGGGGAAGAGAGAGAGAGAGAGAGAGAGAGAGAGAGAGAGAGAGAGAGAGAGAGAGAGAGAGAGAGAGAGAGAGAGAGAGAGAGAGAGAGAGAGAGAGATTACCTCCTGCATGTGTCCTGGCCAGAAATTGAACCCTAAGTGCTTTGCTATACAGGACGATGCTCCAATACAGGGCAGATGCTCAGTCATTTAACATACTCCTTAGTTTTTGATTAGTGAGCTGACTATCTCCCCTGCCTAGAGTCTGAGCATCAGGCTTGTTGCATACTTACGGCGGGTGGTATCTATCCAGAGCCTGCACCGTGCCGGTGTCACACGGGACACCAGGAGCGGGCCTCCCAGCAAGCCGCTGGGGCGGGGAGTGCCGGTTCCTATGGACCATGGAGGGCACCGAGTCCCCAGAGGCCTGGGGAGCCCCAGGCTGCACCCCTGGGGAGGTCTGGGATTGATCTGGACCAGGGGGTCACAGACCTCGCATTCTTCATCACGACCTCGGCGCTTCATTGAATCAATGTCTGCTGAGGGAATACATGAGCGGGCGGAGTTGAGAGGCGGGGGTTGGAGGTACCCCTGGAGCCAAGGATTTGAGCAGGCTGATTTGGGTTAAACTAGGGCTCTGCCCCTCCTTTACTGGTGACTCTAGA